TAAAGAATATACAAAAGGTTTTAAAGTTTATTTACAATAAATATCTTAGTTCGGTTATCTATAAACTATTGCACCCCTTTCTATCTATCCCCCTTTCGTATATGTATTTCATTGCATAACTCCATCAATGTTGGCTTGTGCCCAAACTATGTAGTCAGCAAAATAAATTATTAGTTAAATGTTATCACAAATAACATTACACCATTAAACAATTTTATTAACAGATTAATTCCATCGATGTGAGGTATGAAAAATATCGTTAATACTTTTACAGACGGCATCGCTGATAAAATAATTTCGTCGGTGGCATGATAGTTTGTAACTTCTCATTCCATTGCCAATTCTGTCGGTAATTAAAAAAACAAACACCGATGGTATTACAGATGGCTAAGCACGTTAAAAAAAATTCCTGCAAGAAATTTACCAGCGAAATAACTCTGTCTATATTTTCAACAGTAATTACCGACGAACTATCCGTTGGCAATTGTGGCATGGGCAGTAAATATTTCAGACTTTGTCAAATACTGATGGAATACATTCGTTAGTAATAGTCATGGTCAATATCGATGGAATTGATCCATCAGTGAATGTGGCACGACCCATAAATTTTTTTCAACTCTCGATAAAATACCGACGACCTGGTTCCCTTTTTATTTATTTAAAATATTTTTAAAAAATTATTTATTAATAGTAAAAAAACTTAATAACCAAATAAATTTATATTAAACATTAAAAATGAAAAAATAATGTTAAATAATATTCACCAAAATATTTATTACAAATTTAACATTTTAAAAAATAAAATTAAACTAATTAAAATAGCGGCGGAGTTAGAGGAGGAGGAGGAGGCTAGTTGTTGCCGGGACTGTACGACTAAAAAGGAGCAGCATATGGATAATTACTCATTTATGATCTAATCTCCATGACCATTTGAGGGAGCTGAGCATAATCCATCGAGAGGGGTTCATATTGTTGTTTCAAGGCTAAGAACTCCTTTAACTGGGTGCTCGATATTGATAGAAAGCTCCTAACGATTGAGACACTACGAGCTGACCATAATTTTTTGGTTGTAGTGTTGGAGAGCCCGTATACCTAATTTTTATCGGGTCCACCAGATGATCTGACCTCTATCCACAAATCCGAATGAAAATCTAGATGGGTCAAAGGATTATCCCCATATCTCTCTCTCAACCAGCTATTATAGGTCTCTTGAATTTTTTTTTTAAAAAATCATCATATTCAATTCAAGAAAGTAATATCTTACGAAATAAAATGATTGAACGAACATACCACAAAATGAGGAGCACTATTGTCCACGTACTACTACACCTTTTTTTGGCAATCTTGACTCCGCACGTGCGTCTTTACAGATAGTTCTATTGGACTCGGCTCACGTCCAAGAGACGTAGCCTGTAAGGAAAAAAAAAAAGATTGCAAGTTAAATATATTTATAAGCAACAACAAATTAATTAACAATATATTTTATTTAAATTAATCTTACTATCCTCTTTGCATGTGCGCTAAACGGGACGGAGTCACTGGTTTGCATGGTCACCGAACCATGAATTTGCTAGTTCTGGTTGATAGCTCTAGATTATGAGCGCTGTGAGAACCTCTCAGATGTCACGTGCTCAATATATGCCGCCCATATATTTCCTGAAATGAATGGCAGTTTGAATTCCCGCCAAACCACCACCTCATTCCTTCCTTCAAGACTGTTGTCCCTCGCATATCTTTTTACTTTTTTTTTGGTGTCATACGAAAAATCACGCAACCTACTTCTATAGTAACTAATTAGAATTTAGAACATAAAATTATAAATCAAAAATAAATATTATTTTTTATGTTACCAAGTTGCTATGTGATTCTCTCATACCCCTCCTAATAACATTGTTGTTCGAGTTATCCCACTTAAATTTATTCTATGTTTATAAATAATTCATTGAAAATAAAATAGTATAAGATATAAAATTATAAAAATTATTTATTAAAAATAAACTAGAAATTAAAAATTAACACCTACCTAAAATCGCTGAAACCGGGTATCAATATTAGGTCTCCACTCAGGATGTCTGGAGACCTAACTCCATTAAAATAATAGAATCTCCATCGATGATTTAAACACCAATGTAATTGTACTGGTAGCCTCAATGTTTGTAAACCGAAAATTAAATAATAAAAAATTAATTAGTTGTTCATAAATTATGTTATATATATATATATATATATATATATATATATATATAAACTAAAACATAAACAAACTTATATTGAGAGCTCATCCTTCTATTGTGCCTAGTACTTGTAGGTGAATTGACCTCGATGTGAAGGTACATCACTTCTATGCTGTGAAACTGTGCTAGAAGAGGTAACACCGTGATCAGCACCTAAAGAGATGTCATCCTCGCAGCTAGAAGAACTAGCTGCAACCATCTACTAACAACATGCTGTAGATTTCATTTGACGCATCTACACAAATGTATATGAATTATTATATAATTAACTTTGATTATTTAAAAAAAAAAATCAGCAACACCTCCCCTATACTAGAGACTACCTATAATTTTCAAACCTGCAATCTTTACAATAACCACAATCCAATTGACTCTAGCGACATCATATATACAACCTAATATCGATAGAAATTCAATCATTAACAAAAGTTCGACAGCACCTCCTCTATATTGGAGACTACCCACAGTTTTCAAACCTGCAATCTTTACAATAACCACAATTCATATAATCTCCAGCAACATCATATATACAGCCTAATATCTATAGAAATTCAATTATTAAAAAAAAATTCGACAGCACCTCCCCTCTATTAGAAACTACTCACAGTTTTCATGTCTATAAATATTGATAATTACACAAGTATTGCAAAATCAACTCTATACAACCTAACATCTATAGAAATTCAATGTTTATAGATTTTCAACTACCATCAATACAAATTCATAAATAACAATTAAAATTAATCAAAATAAGAAACAACATAACAAACAATAATATTCTAAAATTAAGATAAACTAATTAAATTTAATTTTATATTTCAATTAACATTTAAAACATAAATTCAACAATAACAATTATGGCAAAACAAACAATAATATCCTGATATTAAGATAAACTAATTAAATTTAATTATATATTTCAATTAACATTTAAAACATAAATTCAACAATAACAATTATTGCAAAACAAACAATAATATCCTAAAATTAATATAAACTAATTAAATTTATTTCTATATTTCAATTCACATTTAAAACATAAATTCAACAATAATAATTATTGCAATACAAACAATAATATCCTAAAATTAATAAATAAAATGAAAAAACTAAATAACACTACACAAAACATCCTAAATACAAAACAAACAATACACAAAACTAAAAAACACTACATCAATTCAAAATAAATTTAGGAATAAAAAATATTTACCTTAATAGTGTGTTGATTTTAAGATTTTATTTACAAACAATATACAAAAAAAAAACACCAAAAAAATAATCATAATTAAAATAAAAAAATACAAAGATAAAGGAAAAAGATTACATACCTTTTAATATGTTTAAAACTACCACCGAAACAATAAAATCTCTTTCAAAAACTAAACTCAAATGGAGAGGAGAAGAGAAATAGAGTTAAGAGCTAAGAGAAAAAATGAACCAAATAGTGGGAGGGGGGTTTTATATACCAATTTTTTCCAACTGTATTATTGACGGACCATTAATTGTGATCAGTGGCATTAAATTTTGTTAGTAATTTTCATCGATAATAAATTGATATTCGCACCAAAAATTTCAAAAATCCCACTTGACTTTTCGATCTGTCAGCCAATCCATTGGAAACAATGCCGCCAACAATTTCATTACTAAATTTGTTGACCAACCACGCCTCTGATAGGCGTGTGCTTTAGGATTTGCACTTTTTGTCGGTGAATCTATCAGTGTACCCGTCGGTAATTATGGCATAAGTCTGTAATTTTTTCAATTCTCGGTAAAATACCAACAGGTACTAATCCGTCAGTGTACCCGCAAGTAATTGTGGCACAAGTTTGTAATTTTTTTCTAACTCTCAGTAAAATACCGGCTGGTACCAAGCCATCGGCGTAACCGTCAGCGAAACTGCCAATATTTCTACAGCTGCTCCATGTATTTTTATCTATCCTCCTACACAAAATCTTGAATTGCAAACTTACAACACACACAACACAATAATAGGAGCTGACAATTAAAGAAGAATAAATATCTCATATTCCAAAATATTTCATTATAAAAATAATGCTTTACAGAATGTTTAGTCGTTAGAATTTTCATCTTCATCCTCAATTGAATTGTTATCATCAGCTTCATCGCACTCTTCAACGTGGTTATCATCTTCTTCATCAACATTCTGTAGTCCACAAGTAGAGCTCAAAATAGTATTTAACTCCTTTACGTCAATATCAACAAAACTATCGTTGAAAATATGAAAATTCAAATTTTCTTTGAAGTCAATCGAAGAAACACTTTGGTATAGTTCAACCAACTCACTAGCTTGAAAGACTTCATTTATCACACTTGTGTCTTCGTTCTCATCCTGAACAACCCCGACATGACCCCTGGGTTTTGTTTTTAAAATGGATAACTAATCAACTCTTGATCGGTCTTTTCTAAAGGAAGGGGTGTATATGTAATAAAGTTGTTGGCATTACTTTACAAAAACAAAGACGTCATTTACGTTGTGGTGTCTAGCTTTTTAGTTGATTTCAACGAGACCATAGTGAGGATCTACTCTGATTCCTCTGTCAGTTATGTCATACCAATAGCATTTGAATAAAAATACTCTATTCTGCTTGCTATGATATTGTAGTTCGATGACCTTTTTCAATCTACCATAGTAGTCAACTTCAAACTCACTAGAAGTCGATCCCTTAATACAAACACTGTTGTTGTATGTCTTTCTTCCATGCCCATATTCTTTAGTATGAAAGATATATTAATTAACAAAATACCTTTTATAGCACTTGACTTTTCTTTCAAGTCCCAGGCTTAGTAAAGATAGTGAAATAGTAGCACTACCTCCCATTTGATAAACCTTATATATGAAATACAATAAAAATCAATAAACAAATATTATGTAATATTGACATATAATTAATTACATTGCAAGAGATAATGAGTTTGTGATAGGACTTACATGTGTTCTAAACCATGTGGTAAATTATTTATCTTGTAATTGAAAGATCTGGGATTCAGTCAGCTGTGAGTTATTGGACAATAAGTATCGTTGATGTTGCCTACATGGTTGTTCTAAATTATATAAGTTTATAATATCACAAAACATAAATAATACACTCTTGACAAAGTTTATGTCGAACATCTACTTACTTAATAAAAGGTCTTAGCTCATCACAGTTAAATAGGACATAATTGTGTGCTTGTCTGAATTCTATTTCAGATAAATATCTTCCCTTTACAATATTTTTAGCTGTGGATCGTCTAAGATTGGAGAATATTGACAAGTTTATACTTGAAGACACTTCACCACCATCATCATGCCGTGGAACAAGGTTGATCCTCCTTCTCAAATGAAGTTTGAAATAGTATAAGATAAATATTGAGATCTCCTCAACAATTTAGGCCTCACATATTGACGCCTCAACATGTGCCTTGTTCTTAACCTTTTTTTTAAGATTGAACATGCACTTGAATATATATATATATATATATATATATATATATATATATCTATTAAAAAAATAAA